TGAAGAGGATGAGGCTGGCCCCTCCCTAGAGTCTCACGGGGTATATCCACTAGTTGCTTTAGCATAGGTTTAGTCTGGTGAGATTCTGTCTGTTAGGTACAAGCTAATAAAGGAACTGAACTGTACTGGATTGCCTCGTTCTTGGGCTGAACCTGCCGAGTGAATCTGGTTTTTCTGAATTTTAATTATAAGCTTAAGAATTTGAAGAATCTTAAATAAACAGCAAAAAGCTAAATAAAATTTTAATCTTAGAAAGTTATAAATGGACTAAGGGTCCAGATAAAATTGGAATATTTAAACTTTTACAATAAGATTTTGGGATTAATTATAAAGTACAAGCAGCTTCTTGGGAAATAGATCCTGTTTTGTTTTTTACAAGACACAACATAGATAAGCAATTTCATGATTTCAAAAATTGGACACTAGAGGGGATTAAAGATTTTAGGTAGAGGAAAGATATAAAGGCCTGTAAGATAATGCAAAACATTATGACAATAGAAATACTGAAGGAAACTTTTGAAGAATGGAATCAGAAAATAGCCACAATATCAACAATGTCAGCAATGATGTCTGCTTCTATGGACAGACTATATTCAAAAGATGTTATTGAAGAAATGACAGATGTAGAACAGATTTTATCTGTCACGATAGAGATGGTATCGAAAGTGGATATACAACTGACAGGCCAAGAGAATGATTTAGAAAAGAATGTTTTACTGGATCTACAAAAAGAAACTGGCTGAGATTTTAAAATTTTAAAGGGAAATACAAATGACAAGCCAAGAGAGTGACCTGGATAATTCTTTCCTATGGATTTACAAAAGTGCTTTGTTAAAGCCTGGAAGAACTCTGTGCAATGGGACGAAGAAGTGAAGAGAAATCAAATCCTATGACGATATTTGAATGAACTAAAGATGAAGACTGTTAATATAAAGGAATATAAAGTTGGTTTACTTGATCAAGGTTAAAACAAGATAGGTTGTTACTTCTGGCTACCCTTTATGGACTCTGCTGACGCCAGGATTCAAAAGATGATGTTTTATGGATTTGTTTATAGAGATGGGATATGGGATGAAGAGATAAATGTTTGTAACTTTACAGAGGGTGAAGAGTTACTAAATTTGTTTATACTTGTGATGAAAGTTGAAAGTTACTTCTCTATATATTTCTTTTCTCTTTATTATATTCTTACTTTTTTCTTTTTCTTTTTTCCTTGCACTTTTTACTCTTCTCTATCCTCTTTCCTTCGTTTAGTTTGTATTAGATTTTACTATTATAATCAAAATTTAATATATTAAAATAATTCATATATAATTCATATATATGAATCTAGGATGACAGTTGCCACGCCCCCACTCCTGCCCTGAGGTTTCGGCTGATGCCACACCCAAAACCTGG